TATCTGTCGTTAAATTATGTACACTGATATAAAACGAAAGAATTTTAATGCTGTATTGAGAATCCGCAATGTGATTGCATTATAAACCATATGACTATGACGATTGATTCATCTTATGGCCCGGAAAATATAAAATCCTTTTATATTATTTCGATACATTTCGCTTTTTAGAATGAACAAATCTTTCAGAAACCGGATCTCGGCTAAAGCTAGTCTCGAAACATGCACTGAAACGCGATATCATATGGCTTGCATTGTAGTAAATTGCAGACTCGAGCGCAACAACGAAGGATAAAACAGTCACATTGACAAGTCACTGCATGCGATTTTTCAGAATGGCACTCGTGGTTTGACGATCCATTGTGTTGCTTTTTTAAACTAGTTTTGCCTTGCGATGTCACTTCTTTGCATGTATGGATGGATTTATGCGTCGTCCGTGCATCCCGCATCGGTCGTTTTGGTCCGAAAGTCGACCACAAAACACCAAAACGTTTCCATCCCGACCGACATCAGCTGAAACTTTATCTGTGATTCTGTGTCCACTTCTCCCCCCCCCTCCCCCCTCGCTCCCCCTCTCCCCTCTCCCCCTCATCCTCATCCGCTCGGATATTGTTCGTATCTTTATGTTATTGTTCGTAGAAACTTTAATTTTAAGGGAGCTACAAGTTCGTGCGTACTTTTTCCTTTCTACGGCCAGCTGGTGTTTTGTTTACCTCATGGCCGATCGGGGTCAATGGGGCTCTTGATATGGGACTTATGGGGTAGGCTGTGGCTGCTATCGGCTTCTGTGATGAAGGTTTTTTATCGCCCTGTGGCCTCTCCTGTTCTCTTCTGATTACGCCTTTATCTGCGCCAGTATCTCTCTCTTGATCGTTACCCAGTCCCTCGCCCTCTTATCTCGACGCTACTCGCCTGCTTCACCATTCGTATTTTCAAATTTGATGCGGGAACATTTGGTGTCCATATCAAGATTAACGGTTGGATTCTCACCTCGAAGGTCGGAGGCACCTGCGGCCGCTCGGCGTACGCGCCCCGGGGAGGGTCACGTGGTGTGCGGGAAGCCGTGCAAGGGCGAGGATGGATGCGCTAGCTAGGCCTGCCTTTAAGTCCTCCTCTTGGGGGTTTATTGGTTCTCTGGTGTTTAGTTTTCTTCTCTCGCTGTCCCTTTCTTTCTCTCTTTTTTTCTCTTTTCTTTCTTTCTTTCTTTCTTTCTTTCTTTCTTTCTTTCTTTCTTTCTTTCTTTCTTTCTTTCTTTCTTTCTCTCTTCTCTCTCTTTCTCTCTTCTCTCTCTCTCTCTTTCTCTTTCTCTTTCTCTCTCTCTCTCTCTCTCTCTTCTCTCTCTCTCTCTCTCTCTCTCTCTTTCTCTTTCTCTTTCTCTCTCTCTCTCTCTCTCTCTCTCTCTCTTCTCTCTCTCTCTCTCTCTCTCTCTCTCTCTCTCTCTCTCTCTCTCTCTCTTCTCTCTCTCTCTGTTCTCGCTCATCTCTCTCTCTCTCGCTCTCTCTCTCTCTCTCTCTCTCTCTCTCTCTCTCCTCGCCATTCTTCTCTCTCTTATTTCCTCTTCCTCTCCTATCTCTTTCTCTTATCTATCCCATTTCCTTTCTCCTTTTCTCTTTCTCTCTTCTCTCAGTGAAAACAACAGTTATTTTCTATAGTTTGACGAAAGTATCGTAAGCCATGTAAGTCCCTCTCCCTCTCCTTCTCCCTCTCCCTCTCCTCTCCCTCTCCCTCTCCCTCTCCCTCTCCCTCTCCTCTCCCTTCTCCCTCTCCCTCTCCCTCTCCCTTCTTTGTGTTGACATATTCTATACTTCGACAAAAGTATCATAGGCCACAGAGAAATAAAAGTTCTGTTATCACTCTGGGATTTTTTTTTTTACTGCGCGTCTAGGGTGTCACAAATTGGACATGCGTAACCTGACGTGGGAAGCTTATTACACAATTCTGGCCGTTAAAAGTCTCCTTGGCTGTGAATCATGCATGACGTAACCCGTGCATCAATGAATGCTTGCCTCTCTATTGTAACACAAATGTCGTTCCACTGGTCAGTCAGAGGACGCCACAATGTGCGTAGTACTGTGTCGTTTGTTCATTTTGTGCGTTTTATTCGTGTTTATGTTATTTTGAGAATTTGAGGACTAGGATTAGTGTTTTTGTTGTGTTGAGACGGATGTTCTGGTTTGATGCAGTCACAGGGTATGCCAATGCACGTGTGGTAGGTATTGGTGTGCAAAGAACATCAATTCAGATGCGTGGGTGCTCCGACCGTTTGCTATTGTACACTAATGAGGCTTTATATTCTGGAGATTAGGAAATATTCGCGTCTCCTACCTTTGCCCGACTGTTTTTTTTTTTTTTTTTTTTTTTTTTTGTTATATGTTTTGTGTCTTATGTGTACATATTATCGTTCTATAAATAGTCTATAGTGATATGAATAAACTTCCACATCTAATGATCCCTCATTCTCTGTCGGTATCATCCCTCCTCCATTTCCTTTCATGTCTAATTTTCCTCCTTGAGTCTTCCCTTCGAACACTGCCATTTTTGCCTATTATTCGCCCCTCCTTCATTTCCATCATCCCCTTCTCTCCTCACCCCTTTTCCCTCAAGGCACCACTTTCCCCTCCTCGCCCCCCACTCTCCTTCCCTCCCTCATTCATCTCTTTGTATCACCTGCTTCTTCTCACTATTCCCCGCCTCCCCTACTGTGGCACCCTAATTTTTTTCGCCCGCCTTCCCCTTTTTTGTCATTTCTGTCTTCTCATTTTCCCTTTTTTCTTCTTCCTAGGTCCCTTTTTTTCCCTCTCGGTCGCCCAAGTCCTCCGTCTTTTGCACGGCCGATATCCTCTCTTCCTCGATTTGCATTGCCTCCACGCAACCTTCCGCCCGGAGCGTCTTCTTTCGTTTTTGTCTCGCATTCCTCTTCATTTTTTATGCTCTGTCTCCCTTATTCTGTCTTTCGTGTATCTTTCGGCGCTTTTTATCGCTACCTTTCAGTTATCTCCCCCACCCCCTTTTCTCGTACTCCCTTCCGCCTGCAGGTGTGAGGGGTCGCGGTGGCCCTTGTGCGTCGGGTATGAGGTGAGTGTGTACGATTCACCCTCATTCTGACCTCCCTTTTCCCTCATAACGAACCGATTGTGTCCCCTCACTCCCCTCATACTCCACGTGCCTCTCATGCCGTGCCGAAGTGTCATAGAAACGGGCAAGGTCGATGATTTCATTGCATTTGCATGAGAGTGATTTCAGGAGTGGGAGGGAAAATAAAAGGGAGGGAGACGCAACTGGAGACGGCCTCGGAATATAAGACAGGTGGTTGGGGGAGGAGGAGGAGGAGGAGGGGGGGGTTAGGAAGTGTTGGAGGAAGAGGTTGAATAGATTGAAAGAGATTGAAGCCAATGCGCTGGTGATCTGCAGGCATGGTCGGTCCAGTACCTGAGTGTGGAGCGAAAAAGACCGTCTCCCCCTTCCTCTTCCCACTCCCCCCGTCCCCCGCCCGCTCTCACCCCCCGGCATACCTCAGTCCCTCCCTCGCCCTCCCGAACCAGAGTTACCAGTTTGCCTTTTTGCCTTAAAAAATGCCCTTCTCCCTACGTAATATTCATTCTAACTTCGCGCGGCTGTTTCCTCGTTTCGTTTCGAGGAGCAGCAACGTCTTCGGCGAGCAGGTCGTGGTCGTGGCCGACGGAGGCTGAGCCACGACCCGCCTCCACCGCCTGCATGACGAAGCCCCGCGCCGCGCAGGTGAAATAAATGCGCATCACATAGCTAGCCGTCAACCCGCAGCCCCGAGTCGAGTACTTCCAAACTCGCTATTTGAAATGAACCCGCAAGTCCCCCCCCCTTCCCACCGCCCGGCCCCTCCCTCCCCCACCTCTCCCTCTCCATTCGACCTCTACCCCCTCCCTCGCCCGCTCTTCCCCTCCCTTTATTCACCTAGCTCTTCCTCCCCGTCGCCCTCTCCCCCTCCACTATCTCAGGAATATCTTATGACATATCGTAACGAGCGAGGAGTATCTTTGCGTGCTCTGTTGTTCTCCTCTCCGGCCCGCGACTCGTTCCCTTCACTCTACGTGCGGCCGAGTCGGAAACTGTGTGATGAACCGCGGGCGTGAGCAAGGGCGAGGCATTGGGGGGAGAGGGGGGGGAGGGGTTATTTCGCCGTCGGAAAGGTCTTCTTCTCTGTCTCTTTCTTCCTCTTCCTTTCCTGGTTTTCTTTGTTCTTTATTTTCTGCTAATACTGGTATTTCGAATTTCATCTCTTCAGGCTGGAGGAGGTGGGCAGGGGGGGGGGGGAGGTCAGTCCCAACGGTCGGGCGGAGGAGCTTCCGTTGCCTTCCAAGTCGCCGCCAAGAAGGACATGGACACGTAGGCTCGATGGCGGGGCAGCAGGGGTAGGGGGCAAGGAGGGAGGAGGGAGGGAGGTGGGAAGGGGGAGGGAAGGGAGCATAGTCTGAGAAAAATACCACCGGTTGCATAGGCTTGTTGTTGCCACAGTCCTGAGGTTTTGTTTACCCGCTCGCCGGGCTAATGAGAGCGAAGGATGTTGGGCGCTCGGGATGTGACGACGGCGCTCGCTCAGGGCCTGGTGGCCGGTGCTGGTCAGGCCCTGCGTCCGGGCAGAGGAGGGAGAGGAGAAGAGGAGGGGAAGGGAAGGCGAAAGGAAAACGATGAAGGCTAAAAAATGAGAAGAATGATCAATGGGTGTGCGGGAGGAGAGCGAGGGTGCAGGAACCACCTGGGGAGTGTGGATGTGTCCCCCTCTCCCCGCCCTCTCCCCATTCTCCCCGCTTGCACGTCGTAGGACTTCGTCAGGCTAGGGCGCGAGTCAAGGTGATGTCCGACAGCTGCCAGAGTCCTGCAGGAAGAGTGGGGGAGGTTGGTTTGTGTGAGTGAGACAATATAAAAACGTTGTAGTTGGTAACGTTGGTCGGTGGGTTGAGGACCCTGGTGGTGGGTGGGGCGGTGGGGGGTAGACAGGAGGGATGGGGGGTACGGAGCGCGGAGTGAGTCAGTGTGTGTTGTGCGTGTGACGGGAGAGTGTGTTGCCGCGCCTCTCTCTCTCCCTCTCTCTATCCTTCCCTCCTATCTTTGTGTGTACGGAGTTCTCGCGCCCTGGGAATTACTAAGGACTTCATCTCCACGACCAGCAGCATTCTGCCTTCCCGTGGCAGAGTGACGGAGGTCCCTGTGGAGCGCCTGTGTTGTCGTGCAGGAGAGGCGGGCAGGTCGTGTGCGAGGCATGAAGGAGCAGCAGCGTGGTTGGTGGCGCGGTTACAGCCTCTAGTTGTTAGCTTGTATGGTGCGTCTTAGGCTGGACGGCTGCCTGACAGGTCCTCCTGCCTCCTGGCCTCCGTGGCTTCCTCGCTGGTCTAAGAAGGCGTTCTCAGACCACGCCGAAGGGGCCTCGCCCGCTCTCTAGTGTTGTCGTAGGCCTATCCATGAGAGCCTGTTTACCTGTGCGCCGTCTCGTGTGAGAGCGAGACCCCCGAGAAAAGAAAGCAATATAATCCTAGCTTAAAAAGTCCCGAGACCTGGCCCGTGCATTGGCCTGAGGTCATCGAGTGTGGACGGTGAGCGATACCGGGAAAGTTGTCAGTGAGTGTTGCGTAGTGTCGGTGTTGTTGTTGTTGTGATCCGAGTGTGGCGTGGCGCCAGATCCGAGGTGGGACGGCGGCGCTGGATGAGTGGTGATCCGTGTTGCAATATGGAGGTCGCCACAATGGTCACGTAAAGTGGAGGCAGCGCAGCAAGTGTTGGATGTGGGGAGACCAGCAGCGTGTGGTGGGTCCCCAGCAGGTCGGCGGAGGTCAATGCTCACACCATCACCTCCTCCATCAGCACCAGCACCTTCCCCCACACCACCATCACCACCACCTGCACATCTCCCCTAATCACCATGACGACGGAGGTGCTTGGCCACTAGCCCCCTCCTCTTCCACCTCCTCCACACCTTCCACTTCTTCCCCCGCCATCTCCTACACTTCCCCACCCTCCTGCTCGCCGCCAGGAGAGTCCTACGCCAATTGGATGGCCGAGGCGCTGGCCACCTGCACCAGCTACACCAGCACCCTTCCCTTCCTCCTCCCGCCAAACTACTCCTCATACACCTCCACCTCCTCCTCCTCCTTCTCCACCAACGCCACCCTAACGTCCCCCACCACGCCCACCTCCAGCATCGCCTCCCCAGTGACCACTTCCACGTCGCCCTCCATCGCCGCCATGTCCCTCAAGATGAACAGCGTGTATATAGACACGTCCCCCTCCAGGACCTCTAAGCCGCCTCCCACGGTCAGGTCGCACTCCCTCGACCAGCTCAATTTCGAGGAGAAGCGGCAGCTCATAGCCTCCACGCTGAGCTTGAGCGACCTCCTCGGAGGCGGGCCGCAGAAGGGGAAGCTCAAGGCCGAGGTAGAGACTCCTTCGGAAACCTCGGCGACCCCGGGTGCCAACACACCGACGTCGGGCACCAACTCCATCGTGACCAAGTCCACGTCGCTCTCCCTCTCCGACATCATCAACGCCACCAAAAGCAACAAAGGTAGGGCCCGCGCCTGGCACCTGTGTGCTGGCCGAATTCAGCGACATTCGTGATTCGGTTGGTAGCGAAATGGTTAAGCAGATTGGGGGGAAATGATAAGGAGAATGTCCCAGTCCACATGCAAGCGAACGAGAGAAACGGATGGAATAGTAAGAGACAAAATAACAAGCCCGGCTTTATGGAATTTGGTTAATTATGTGTGGCGGTGGCATTGCTAGCGTTACTCGGATGGTGTGTGATGGGGGGAGGCGGGAGGGACTCTCTTCTGCATTTATGAAGTCAGGGAGCGAGGAGCTTGTGCAACCGTTAATATTTTAGAATGTCCAGCAACTTTGACCTGGTCGTCCGCTGGGATCCAGGTGTTTTTGTTTATATTCGTGACTACTTTCTGTTTGTGAGTGCTATATGATTATATTCGTCATCGAGGCAGTGTTCGAGAGCATCACGCAAATCTGAATCATCCGACAACCTTATTCAACCGTAAATGTTTTCTCACGAAGGTGCGGCGGGGCCTCGTAGCCTCTGACCCCCGTGTCGTGTTCCGTTCTCTCGAAACGGGCCAGGACGGCGAGCGGGTATTCCCATCTGATCTCGCGGTCCTGCTGGCTCAGCTGGCATCCCGATTCTGCGCCCCACGCTAGCTTTTATCGCCTAGGTCTATCCAATCTTTGAACCGTAACTTGGCGGGAATCAGGGGAACATCGACGATCGATTTATTTCGGTTTCACTACTCATTCTATGATATTTCGCCCATGTTCCAGAACTATTCTACTATTCTCAGTATTCGTTGCAGTTATTTTGCGACTTAATGCCCGAGTAAGAGCGAGTGAGTTGCATAACATAACGGCACCGCCCTTTCTGTGTGTGCTGTGGTTAATGTAATCGGCGTTGTGGGTGTTGTCACATTGCTCCGTTGACCAGACTGTGCGAGTTTCAAGGTCACTCGTTTTGCGTGCGTGTGGATGTTGTATGTGAATGGTGGGGATATGTTTGCATGTGTGTATGTTTATGTGTATGTGTGTGTGAATATATGCCTTAGTCCGTGTTTGTATTAGGAGTGTCTCTTTGTTGTTGTTGGCGGCCATATTGTCGGTTTTGATGACTTTGTGTTTCGCTCGTTACTCTGCAACGCCCAGAGGGTCCCCTTCAGCGTTTCCCAGGATCGTGCCGTCCTGTATGTATGAACAGCTGAGTTGCATGTTACGTGGTCGGATTCCTCAGCGCTGGGTTTTACTTGGGCACAAATTGTACTGTTTGAGTGGTGACAGTGGTGACTGCATACCGATGCTACGTCTCGTTACTTTTTTTCCACTGTTTATCTCTCGTACGGTATGATGGGGATTCGATAATTGATGGAGTAGTGTTGCGATAATAGCCATTGTTAACATTCCTAGGGACCACATATAAAAAAAAAAACATTTTATATTTAGAAGCTGCATCGGGAAGTTATATAACGTCTCTGTTGCAAGAGTCAAAATATTACCCGTTCAGTAACCCCCCTTATGTTCGCTTTCCAAAGTTATAGGCTTGTATCTGCGTGTCTTTCTTACGTTGATTGCATCTAGATATCGATGTGTTGTAATTGTGATTGATTCGTTTGTTTATGTTATTTTCCTTTTATCTGATCGTAATCCTTCTTTCGGAGACCGCTAAGAAACAAGAAGGGGGGGAGGGGGATAGTAGTAATAGCTTCGAGAATAGAAAAAAAAAACTATTTACGTAATAAGCAGGTAGACCAATGGCTAGGTCAAAATAATAGTATATTAGACAAGTGGCCGGTAAGTTCATAAAGAGATGAAGGGAGATAGCGAGTACGAATTTAAGCGCAATTTATGGTGATAACGCCAATAGACGATACGAGGGTCCACACGCGGCCAAGAATGAAATGATAACAGCGATGAGAAAGTGGCCCAGGAATTCGGCCGGGTCGCGATCGCTCATGATGGCAGGACATGGCCGCCAGCGCTCGATCATGCAGATGGCACCTCGATTGATGAATTGGGTTTTAAGCCGCGTCGATTGTGCTGCCTCGTTGTAATGGGGCGCTGCTGTGCTGCTGCAAGACGCTTTATTGAATTTGCACAGCGCGGGGAGCGACGTTCGGCTTGGGGGTGTTGTTCTTGGGGACGTCGAGGTCTTCTGATGATGTGGTTGTTCATATGCATGTCTTTTGAAGTATGTGAAAGTCTAGTTTAATGACATAGGTACGAGTAGGTCTTCTGATGATGTGGTTGTTCTTATGCATGTCTTTTGAAGTATGTGAAAATCTATTTTAATGGCGTAGGTATGAGTAGGTCTTCTGATGATGTGGTTGTTCTTATGTATGTCTTTTGAAGTATGTGAAAATCTAGTTTATGGGTAGGTATGAGTAGGTCTTCTGATGATGTGGTTGTTCTTATGCATGTCTTTTGAAGTATGTGAAAATCTAGTTTAATGGGGTAGGTATGAGTAGGTCTTCTGATGATGTGGTTGTTCTTATGCATGTCTTTTGAAGTATGTGAAAATCTATTTTAATGGCGTAGGTATGAGTAGGTCTTCTGATGATGTGGTTGTTCTTATGTATGTCTTTTGAAGTATGTGAAAATCTATTTTAATGGCGTAGGTATACTTCTGATGATGTGGTTGTTCTTATGCATTTCTTTTGAAGTATGTGAACATCTATTTTAATGACATAAGTATGAGTAGGTCTTCTGATGATGTGGTTGTTCTTATGCATGTCTTTTGAAGTATGTGAAAATCTATTTTAATGACGTAAGGATGGATAGTTCGTAGTAACAAATAGCTTCGTGTGTGTGTATGTGTGCGTGTGGGTGTCGCGAGGTGTTTGTGCGTGTGGAGTGACTTTGGGGCTGTCGAAATCCTCTTCGCGGCGATGACAATACACGGACGCAAGTTATCCGATTGTGTTTGTGGACTCTCTGTGTATGTGTGATTCCACTGAGCCGGGCCACTGCGAATATAGCATCCCAGATTAAAGATAATATACCACATTGTGTACCCCAGCTGTGTGTCCTCATTCCCCTCGCATTCCTCCTGCCATTTCTTCTAATTATTTTTCTTCCTCGTCTTCCTTCTCTCCTGCCTCGGTTTCGTTGTAATTTTTGTCTCTCGCTTTTCTTTTTTTTTTTCGTTTTCACATGCGCGAGGGACCTTTTTTGTGTCCTTATTCCCATTCGTCTTCATCATTCTTGAACAAGTCATCGCCGTTTTAAACGACTTGGGTCACGTTTGTTTCTTCTCTCTCTCTCTCTCTCTCTCTCCTCTCTCTCTCTCTCTCTTCTCTCTCTCTCTCTCTCTCTCTCTCTCTCTCTCTCTCTCTCTCTCTCTCTCTCTCTCTCTCTCTCTCTCTGTTTCTGTTTCTCTCTCTCTCTCTCTTTCTCTGTTTCTCTTTCTCTTTCACTCACGCTCTCTCTCCCTCCCTCCCCCCCCCTCTCTCTCTCTCTCTCTCTCTCTCTCTCTCTCTCTCTCCTCTCTCTCTCTCTCTCTCTCTCTCTCTCTCTCTCTCTCGTCTTCTCTCACACACACACACACACACACACACACACACACACACACACACACACACACACACACACACACACACACACACACACACACACACACACACACACACAATCTCTATCACTCTGAGAAGCGAACTCAGTCGAATAAACGGAAGAGGGAATAGGAAAGAAGGGAAGAAGGAAAGGGAGGAAGAAGAGGCAGAAGGGAAGCGGGAGCCGAGGATGAAAGAAAAGGAGACAGAGGAGAGCCGAAATGCGCCACCGGTTTATAATATGATATAGTGGTAGCAGGAGCGGGTGCTGCGGGGGGGGGGGGGGGTCACATTCCAGAGTATCCCTTCCCCTTTTGGCCGCGGAGTTGACCTTGAACATTGTTGCTGCTGCAAGGTCGGTTGGAGCGGCTTCGGGGCAGGGGATGTGTAGGTCTATCTATCTATCTGGACATCTATGTATCCTTCTATCTATCCATACGTCCGTGAAGAGAGAGAGAGAGAGAGAGAGAGAGAGAGAGAAGAGAGAGAGAGAGAGAGAGAGAGAGAGGAGAGAGAGAGAGAGAGAGAGAGAGAGAGAGAGAGAGACTGATTAACTGACTCCTCATCAATCCATCCTTTCCGCTGCCCTTCCCCCCCCTCTTCTCTCCCCTTCGCTCTCTCCCCTTGCTCTGTGTGCCTTTGATGTCGGCGAGGGGAGAAGGGAGAAGCGGAGAAACGAGAAAAGTGGTCGTGTTTCCATGTTGAAATCTTGTTATATTGCGTCTGGCAGTGTTCCCTCGCATGGCCCTCATTCTTTCTTATTTTTGCCTTGCCCTTTCCTCCTCTTCTTCCCTCCTCTCTTTCTTCTGTTTCTTCCTTTCCTTTCTCCTCCTTGTCTTTTTCCTCCTCTGCTTCCCATCTCCATTTCCTCTTCCTGTTCCTCTCTTTTCCTCTTCCTCCTCTTTCCTTCGATCTCCTCCCCTATCTCCTCTTCCCTTCTTTCCTTCGCTTCATCTCCTCTTTTTCCTTCCTCCTCCATCTTTCTCCGTTCACCTCTCTCACTCCACTTCCCTCCCTTTTGTTTTTCTATAATTCTTATTCCTTTCTTCGTTAGATCGTTACAGCTCTCTCCGGTATCTTCCAAATCCTTGACCAACAACCCATCTGTGTGGTCATCTACACTACACAACCACACGTTGAACGTATGGAGCTACACGCACCGCACGCATATACGCACACACAGTGAGCTATGTACAACCAAACACAACCACGACAACACACATACACACCTACACACACACACACACACACACACACACACATATTCAACACACAACACAAACTCACACACACAACACACATCGCACAAACGCACACAACAGTTACACAACACGCACACACGCACGGCAACTAGGCGCACAACACATGTAACACACAATATTGACACCACACAATTTTTGTTATTATTAGAGTTTTACACACACACATCACACACACACACACACCACACACACACACACTCTCTCTTCTCTCTCTCTCTCTCTCTCTATCTTCTCTCTCTTCTCTCTCTCTCTCTCTCTTCTCTCTCTCTCTCTCTCTCTCTCTCTTCTCTCTCTCTCCTCTCACATGTGTGTGTTGCCATGCGTGCGACCTCTAGCAACCCTATCCCTCTCATCCCGACTTATTTATCCGATAACAGGATAGTGTTTATTAAGTGGATACATCGTGACCTCACCGCTTTTGAGAATGGGTTTTTGACCCCATTTCCCCCTTTTTAGCGATCCCTTTTCCCTCCGCGCGAGAGCCGGGGACGCGGCGCTGCAATCGGCCTGACCGTTGAAGAGACACTCGCGGACCGAGAAGGAAAACACTGATACTGGGACGCCTTGCTTGACCTTTGCGCCTTCCGAAGAGAGCGGGTACAGACGCACTGCACCAGCCACGACTCCGGTTTCCCTTTATTATTAGTCGGCGGCCGATGCCACTCGATCTCCCTTCCTTTAACATCGTCGTTTGGCACTCGTCACACTGTCTTCTTCTCTCTCTCACGCTCTCCTCTCTCTCTCTTCCTCTTTCTCTCTCTCTCTCTTTCTCACTTCTTTTCTCCTCTAATTATCTTCTCTTTTAACCTCTCCTATCCCAGACTTCTCTCCACTCTCTCTCTTTCTCTCTCTCTCCCTCTTCATCTCTCTCTCTCTCTCTCTCTCTCTCTCTCTTCCCTCCTCTCATCCTCTTCTCTCTCTCTCTCTCTCTCCTCTTCTCTCCACTCTCTCTTCTCTCAGCTTTCACTCACTCTCCTCCCTCTCCTCCCTCTCACCCTCTCCCTCACTCTTCCTCTCTCATCCTCCCCTCTCCTCTATTTCGCCTCCTCTCACTCCCTCTCCCTCCTCCTCCCATCCCTCGTGCCCTCCCTCTCCCCTCCCTCCCTCTCCCCTCTCTCTCCTCTCGCTCTCCCTCTCTCTCTCCTCTCTCTCTCCTCTCTCTCTCTTCCTCTCTCTCTCTCTCTCTCCTCCTCCCTCTCTCTCTCGTCTCTCTCGTCTTCTCTCTCTCTCTCTTCTCCATCTCTCTCTCTTCTCCTCTCCTCTCTCTTTGTCTCTCTCTCTCTCTCTCTCTCTCTCTCTCTCTCTCTCTCTCTCTCTCTCATCTCTTTTTCTTTCCGTGTGTGTGTATGTGTGTGTGTGTGTGTGTGTTGCGCGCGCGTGCTGCTATTGTCTTTGTTTCCCTCTTATTGTAACAGCTGCTACCTGTTCGAGGAGAAGAGATATGGAGACAACCAACTTAAAAATAACCGAATTTGTTACGAACGGCAGAAAAGAAAGAAGGAAAAGAAGGTTAGAGAGAGCGAGAGCAGAGAGGGAGAGCCTTGCAACAGGGGTGGGGGCAGGGAGAGTGGGTGGGGCGAAGCAGTTCCGTTATGTATTATTCCAGAGATCTGCAGCGGGGTTCACGGCGGCCACCCGGGCAGGGAGGGGCAGGGTGGCGGCGGGATGAGGGGTGAGGGTAGGGGGAGGTGCCAAGGGTGACTCTCAAGGGTGTGTTGTGGAAAAGGAAGGGATGAAAGATGGTAGGCTGTGTGGGGATTAGCTTGGCGAAGATAAAGGAAGAGAGAGAACAGAGGGAGGAAGAAGGAGAAGGAAAGAGGAACAGAAAAGGGGAAGAGGAGCCTAAAAGACAAGACCGAAAGTCGAAACCGTTCCCAGGAAAAGTGAAGGAAGGGCCGCCGCGAGGACCGAGCCAAGGGAGAGCATAGATCGTGCCAGCGCCGCTTCCGCGACCTCCCCGCCTCTCCCGGCGCAGCAACAAGTTCCTGCGTAGTGGCCATATTTTGAGTCTTCCTCGCACCTGTATGATTTTGCTCGAGTAAGAGGAATAGGGGTTCTCTTCTTGCACTTGCAAAGCTTTCTTTCTTGAAGACTTTGAGGAAAGACGCCTGTTTTCCACTGCGCAGACCTCGATGGTGTATATATACTTCATGTGGAAATGTGTGTCATGTTGGATTGGCTCTGTTCACAGTCTACGTGATGGCGATAGTGGCCGATCGTGACTACGAATGTGTGGAGTACACACATCCCGCCGGGCGCCTGCGTGGCTCTCGACGCCGAGGGCCGCTTCCTCCATCAGGCTGGGGCTTCTGGCGTCTGCGTGGCTCTGTGTAGATGATTAATTTGGTGGCGAATCGTCGACGGCGGCTGACTAAAGCGTGGGAAAGCCTCGTGTTCAATCTCCCTCGGACTTTTCTCGCGGCGAAGATAATTGCCGTAATAAGCGGCCACAGGATGTTTGCCTTTTCGAAGCGCCTCCGTGTACTTTCTTGAGGCCAAGTGACGCAAGGTTTGCGGTTGGGATTTGCAATTGCATTTGGAGTAAGCGCAGATGGAGGGAATACCACAGTTTGAATATTGTTTGGGGAATTTTCTTAGTTGCGTTTGTTTTTTGCTGATCATTGACAGGTTTGTAGGAGTGTCCCAAAAGGATTTCTTTGTCGATTGCAACTAACTGCCAAAGGTAACGCCTGGCTCCTTCACTCTCGTCGTCCCTGGTTATGATTACAGCCCCAGTTATGCTGCGGTTTGGAATGATGTCAATATATATATTTTTTTTTTTCCATTTAGTGAGAACGTTATTCATTTTTCATTTTTGGAGCAAGGTATTTTTTTTACATCTTGTTAGCAACGACACGGAAAGATAATTGCGGTTTCTTATTCAATCTCATTGCGAGATCCTGCTGAGTGACAACCCGCAATAAACGCAATAAACACAGCAACAGACCCTCGGGTTGTGGGCAGAAGGGTGGGGGTGGGGGAGTGGGGGTGGCAGTGCGCTTTGTGTTCCCATAACAACATAAGTGAAGGTGTGGAGGGAATGGGGTCTACCATCATGATTGCTTTTGAGTGTGTGTGCGTGTGTGTGTGTGCGTTTGTGTGTGTGTGTGTGTGTGTGTATGTGTGGTGTGTGTGTGTGTGTGTGTGTGTGTGTGAGTGAGTGTGTTGTGTGTGTGTGTGTGGTGTGTGTGTGTGTGTGTGTGTGTTGTGTGTGTGTGTGTGTGGTGTGTGTGTGTGTGAGTGTGTGTGTGTGTGTGTGCGTTTGTGAGTGAGTGTGTGTGTGTGTGTGTGTGTGTGTGTGTGTGTGTGTGTTGTGTTGTGTGTGTGTGTGTGTGTGATGTGTGTGTGCGGTGTGCAATGTTGTGTGCTGCGTGTGTGTGCAATTTGCCTATCCTCCTGCTTTTACTCCTGTTACTTTGTCATTTTCTTTCTCCCTTTCGTCTCCTCCTCACTCTAGCTTGTTTTCATCCAATGGTGTTTTCACAAGGGGGAGGAACAGTGTTTGGACTGGGTAGCACCAGCCCGCTTCGCTCGGTCGTTATGGAGGGAAGAGAGGAGGGAGGGAGGAGGAGAAGAAGGGACAGAAGAAGAGGCGAGGATTGGGTGTTGGGCACGTTGGAGGGAGAAGGAGAGGAAGAGGAAGAAAGTGGGAGAGGGAGGGAGAGAGGGAGAGGAAAAGAGAGAGAGAGAGAGAAGGATGTCGGCCACAGTCACTGGCGAGGTCGGGGACAATGAAATGTATTCTGAAATGTACATAATATATTTCACAACACATTTTCTTATAACAGGAAGGGAGGCCAAAAAGAGAGAGAGAGAGAGAGAGAGAGAAGAGAGAGAGAGAGAGAGAGAGAGAGAGAGAAGAGAGAGAGAGAGAGAGAGAGAGAGAGAGAGAGAGAGAGAGAGAGAGAGAGACAGAGAGAAAGGGGGAATGGGGATGGAGAGGTGTCGATGACGTCATATTGTCCTCTATCTCCACTGCGTGCGTGAAGTTGAACTTTTGTGCACTCGCTCATTCACTCGCCCAGTCAGTCACTCATGAACTCAATTTCTCCGTTACTCGGTTTCTCTTGTTTCCTTTGAAGGCCGTCTCTGATTAGTAACATGAAATGATAATGCTTTTGTCTGCGGCTTGATTAAATCAATTATTCTGTTCCTGGCTGCGAAATCAAACTAACTAATTACGTAGCCAGTGTGTGTGTGGTTTCATCTGGCTGTTTTGAATGAGTTGGTAGTAATCCAGTGCGAGTTTTTTTCTTTATGGTTGTGTTTCCGTTTGTATGTATGTGCTGCTTACTCATTTCTTGTCAGATTCCTTCTCACATTGTCATCGCTATCGTCTAATCAGTCAGAGTTGATATCTCGGACGGCAGCGCATGGAGTCGAGTAGGTTGCAGGGTAGATAGTGTACCCAGTGATGATATCATTTTTACTTTTATGCTGCTCGATATGGGTGCGCGGTGAGTGCGTGGGTGCAGCTTGTACCCCGATGGTCAGTATAAGCGAGATTGTCCTGTATACACTGTACCCACTGTTGGTATGATTTTAAGATGTGCTCTGTGTTTATGCCGTGTTTGTGTTTATGGTACGGTGTTGGCCGCTGTTAAAGATGTGCGCGCTTGTTGGGTGGCAGTCATCGATTTTTCTCTTCCCTGTTTTTATGTGTTCTCGTGCAGAGTAGATTAAAGTCAGATTTGTAAAATGCATATAGTCCCTGGAGTACTTATTGATGTGTCGTGCTAGTATTTATATTGTTATTAAAATGTTTTTTGTTTTATTTCCAGGTGAGGCCAATGATGAATGCTGTTGCCGCCGGCAGTTGCGATATGATGCATGTGAGTGTAAATAACTTGATACAGACAGGGATGAATAAGTTTACATGTAAAATAAATACATTGATTAATGCAGAGAGTTGATGTTCACCGGCCAGGCGAATCGGAAATGAAGGGGGGGGTGAAGGGAGGGAGAGTGCGGAGGGAATAGGTGAATAGGAAATGGGAAGAGGAAAGGGAAAGTTGGTAGGATGGTAATAGGGAACAGAGGTGAAGGGGAGATAGAAGGGTGAGGAGGAGTAGAGGGAGGAGATAAGAAAATGAAAATGGATTGGAAAAAGATTGCTAGAAGCAGACAGAGAGTGATTTAGGGGAACCGTTGAGAAGGTAGATAAACGAAAAGAGAGAGAATAGAAGAAGAAGAAGAAGAAGAAGAAGAAGAAGAAGAAGAAGAAGAAGAAAGAAGAAGAAGAAGAAGAAGAGAAAGAAAGATGAAGAGAAGGAGGAGAGAGAGCGAAGAAGAAGAAGAAAAGAGAAAGCGAAAAATACATGAGTTGGTTTTGCCTAACCGCATCCCCAGGTCGACATCACTCCGGCCGGTGACGCAAGAGGGCCAGCCGCGTCTCGAGTGGGATTTCGTCAGGATTCCTGCGGCCGGGAGCTCAAGGTCCACCAAGGGCGGCGGAAGGTCCTCAAGGTCGCGCCACGAAGGTCGCTCGTTAGCAAGCCGGCCTTTGAGGTCCTGCTCGGGCGTCGTTCCTTCGGGGGGGGGGGGTATTCCCGGAGGCGACGCTGGATTTGAGAGATCTTTTGTGAGGCGCGGATGGGATAGGAAGACGCTACGAGAGAGCAGAGAAGGAAGAGGCGGAAGGAAGGAGGAGGGGAGGAGAGGGAGGTAGGAGGAGAGGAGGAGGAAGGAGGAAAGGAGGAGAGGGAGGGAGGAGGGAGAAGTAGAGGGAAAGGAGGAGAGGGAGGTATGAGGAAGAAGAAGGAAAGGAGGAGAGGGAGGTGGGAGGAAGAAAGGAGAAGGAAAAGAAAAAGAAGTAAAGAAGGAAGGTAGCAGAAACCCACGAACGTTAACGAAAAGACATAACAAGACAACAAACAACGAAAATGAAACAAACAAACGGAACGAAGGAGCGCAAAAATCCCAAGCAAGCGCCACGTTGGGTGACAACAGCATCTAAAACCTGCACGCACGCTGGACCTTGCATTGTCGCCCGATGAACGAGGGAATTTGATTAATTACCAGGCAATTTTCCCTCGCAGCGGATCCATTACTGCATCAGATATAGCCCCTCGGTCTCCCCTTGTGTCGGTCCGCAGCGGCGCCCCCTTCCCTTCCTGCTGTTCTCCTCCTGATGGTGGTGGATTTCCATTTTGTTTCGTGGTCGGTGTCTTTTCCTTCGTGTCTTTCCCTTCGTGTTTTTTGTTTGTTTTTTTTTTTTGCTTAGATTCGTATCCATGCTTGTCCTCTTCTCTCTCTTTCTCTTGGATTTCAATACGTATAAGGAGGTTTCTTTCTCTCTCTGTCTACTTCTCTCTCTCTCTCTCTTCCCTCTCTCCTCTCCTCTCTCCCTCCCTCTCTCCCTCCCTCCCTCCTCTCTCCCCTCTCTCCCCTCTCTCCCTCCCTCCCTCTCCATCACCGCTCCCGAATCAAGGGCGCAGGCGAGAGATAGCGTGCGGGCGTGAGGGAGATAATCTGTCCTGCATTCGGGCCGGCATTGCGTCGTGCGGCGGGGCGGGCGGGCGGGCGGTATCGCGATCGCGAGGGTGGGCGCTATGGGCATCTGGGTTAAAGTCGCGAGTTCGTGGGTCGTGATCGGATGGGCGTGGCCAGCCCGTCATCTCGTTCCGCCGCCGGCCACGCCCCTCGCCTCGCCGTGGCGGTGCCTTGGGCAAGTTCCTGCAATGAAGGAATGTGATAAGGCGATACGTAAACGCACACGTAATCATTTATACGTACAGAAACGCTCATGCGTGCACACATTCTGTCTTAAACTGTCTCTGTCAATCTACCAGTTTGTTTATACATCCATCTGTTTACCCTATGTCTGTTAATATATAGATTTGTCTATCTGTCTATCCATCCATCCATCACCCGTCCGTGAATCTCCCTCTATTTAGACACACATAACACGCACACAGAAGAGGAAGAGGAAAGAAAGAGATGACGTACAAGCGGCGAGCAGGCGGGAGTGTTTAGCACGGGTGAGGTCGCCGAGATGAACGCCATAAGTCAGACAGGATGAGACATCTGAGGGGGAGGGGGAGGAAGGAGGGGGGGAGGGGGACTGTGAAGGACAGGGGGTATTGTGAGAGAGGAAGGGGGAGGGGAGGCGAGGAAGGTGGGGTGGGGGCGACGAGGGGAAATAGGAGGCGGGACTCGTGGTGGTCGGTTTTAAGGTTACGTCGGGGATGGGGGAGGGGGAGGAGAAGGAAGGGGGAAGGGGGAGATGGGGGGAGGGGAGGGCGTGTGTTCGGAAGGGAATGGAGCGGAGGGAAAGAGAAATCTTAGGAAGGGAAGGAGAGAGCTTGGAACGGGTTGGAATGGAAAACAAACAGGGAGTAAAAGAAAGGATAACTGGGAAATCAGGAAAATGGAATGATCCGAATAGAGGAAGAAGCTAAAAAGAGATGATGGATGTGAAATTTGAATGCAAAGCAAAGAAAAGAGAAAAATGGGGGTTATTTGAGAAATTAGGAAAATTTAAAAGTCAAATAAGGGAACCGAAAAAAACGAGAAAGATAAAAGATGAAATTGGAATAGAGAGCAAAGAAGGAAAGAAAGAATGAGAAAGTCAGAAAAAAAGAGTAGAGATGATGTAAAAGAACAGACATTAAAAGGAGGAAAAGATGAAAGCGTCAAAGGTGGAAAGAGAAATAGCGACGAGAGTGAGTTTGAGAATAGGCGTGGGTGAGAGAAGCGCCATCTTGCTTTGTGGAGTGCTGTTCGCTTTTGTTTTTGGCTGTCCTCTTGTTTATTTTGCGCCCGGTGTTTTATGTCGTCTTTGTTTCGTTGTATTTGCGGCGGGTGAGGACTCGTTGCATGATGCATGTATTACTGGTCATGTCCTGGTTTGTTTCCAGATGCAACTGGTCCTAGTGCTTTCTTGTGCAACTGAATTCCATTCATTTGTGAAGATGTCATCTTTTGCTTAATATTGTATTATTCATATTGTTTTTATTTCATTTACTGGTTCGCCTATTTGCCTGCGATCTGTCTGCTCCATTTGCAACGCTATCCATTGTGCGTCTGACTTGCCAGTCCTTGCAGCGTTTAACAGGGAGCGAGCGAGGGTTATAAGCCCTGACCGAGAGGAGGGAAACGAGAACGAGGGGAGAGTGAGGGGACGAGGATGGGGGGAGAGGGGATACGGAGGGAGGGAAGGAAGGAAAGAAGGTACGAGAATGGGAGAAAAGGAAGGGGAGACGGGGCGGATCCAGGGGGAAGGGAGGTGGGAAGGGAAGGAGGGGCTGTACGAGGGAGGGAGGGAGAGAAGAGAGGGAATGAGGAGGGAGGGAGAGGGGAGAGGAAAGAGAGAGAGAGAGAGGGATCGAAGGAAGAGGGGACTGTGCATTTCCGTGTGGTTTGATTTTGATGTTGAACCCTCTGGCCGCGTGCTTTTTATGGTGTGTTTGTTGCATCTCCTGCCCCGTTACTTCATGACTTGGCAGTAAATACATGCCTGAATATTCTATATATGCAGCTGCCCTCATGTTAATTCGCAGTGTAGGTGATATGAGCCCCTCGCGGTGACGCCCCTGGCGTGTGCTTGTCCTCTGCGCCGTCCGCCCGCCGCGCCCTCAGGATTCGTCGGATGGCGTGGTCAGACGTTGCAGAACAGGGAAGAAATGTTGCAAGGTGTGTCGCAAGGAGTACTAGATGGGCTTGTGTTTTTTTTCGGCGGTTTATTGCTTTTTCTTCGTTTTATCTCTAGTTTTTTTTCCCTTTCCCTTTCCTTCGTTACCGTTTTGACTTTCTGTATTCTCTGATTCTTTTTTCTTTCCTGGCACTTTTATTTTTACTTTTTCTTTACTTCTAATCCTTGTCTCTTCCCTCTCGCATCTCCCCTCCTCTCCTTCCTCTCCTTCCTCGTGCCCGTTCTTACTCTCTCCACCCTCACCCCAGAAATCGGGACGTTTTATCTGGCTCTTAATCTTTAATTTCGGACCCTCTTCCTCCTCTTCCCGCCGCCCAACGCCGCCCGAGTCCGCCGAGTCGCTCCTCCGCCTTCCGCGAGTCCGATAATCCCGGTGGCCGTTTTTACGACATCCGGGACTGGACGCCGGCGCCCGGCCACCTGTTTCGCCTCTGCTCTGGCACCGAAGGGACGCACACCCACACGCACTGACTACACACACGGAGAGATCGACACGGAAGAGCACGTATACGCATATCATATTCAGTGAAATATGATATGAAAAATAGATTGAATAAAGCGAAAGTGTTGAAGCGGGCGAGCCTGGAACCCCCCCCCCCCCCGAGCATGGGACTAACGAGGATCCTGTTGAGTGAAATTCAGTGAAATCGTTTTTTTTTTTTTTTTTTTTTTTTTTTTTTTTTTTTTTTTTTTTTTTGTGTGTGTGTGTGTGTGTGTGTGTGTGTGTGTGTGTGTGTGTGTGTGTGTGTGTGTGTGTGTGTGTGTGTGTGTGGTGCGTGCGTGCCGTGCGTGCGTGCGTGCGTGCGTGCGTGCGTGCGTGTGTGCGTGTGCGTGTGCATGCAGTGTATGTAAATCAGTAGCGATACTTCCCACCTGTACTACCTAACGCTTTCTGTAGCAGTTCATTCAGTCATACTGCCTTCGTTAATTGAAAACAAAAGAATATGAATACAGTCTATGACTTGATCGCTTAATTGCATTAGCATCCAATCACCCATTCGGGCGTGAGAAATATTCGTTGCAGTTGTCTGTTCATGTTGCAGCGAATGATTACTTGAAAATTCCAGGGAACTTCCGATGTTATTTGCAACATTTAAAATAAACACATTGGTAAACTGATGCAATGTAGGACAGTGCAAGGTTACCCGTGCTTAGTCTTCCGCAAATAGCAGTTTTGCGAAAATGAAGGATCGCCGTATTTAAATAGAATGAATGAACAACTTTATTGACGTTGTGTTAATGTCTCTTCGTGTTTGTTTCGTGTTTCGACGTAATGCC